AACAGACGATGTAAGGCAAGGGAGAGAATATTCAGGAGTGTTTCTATGGGCAACAAGAGCAATACAAAGTACTCATATTTAAAGGAAAATTTAAAAAGCCATGCAAATACCCAGGGCAAGAAATGTTCAGAATACACCTGAGAAGAACTTAAGATGTCATCCTGAATGGATTTCTAGACTCAGTGAAAGTCCAAGTAACTATTGAAAGAGAAAATGCTCCCAGAACAGATCCAATCTGTAAAGACTAAGACAGGTATTTATTTTCCCATCTCTGGCCTTGAAGGAAATCTGTATCAAACACAATATAAACAAAAACTAAAGACTACAGTGGCCACACAAGACAAGGAGTACAGTCTCTACCCCAACCTCACTCCCCCCCCAAAAATTAGAAAAGTTGCTAAATTGACTACGATAACCTTCAACAGTCAAAAACAAACCGAAACCCAACACTAGGAAAGGCTAAGAATATGATTTCCAATGTTATCATATAATATTCAAATGTACAGATTTCAACAACAAAAAAAGTTGACATACAAAAAGCAGCACAAGATATGGTCCACTAAACAAACAAAAATAATGGACAGGTATCATACCTGATAAAACCCAGATCTTGAAATTACTAGACAAAGACATTAAAAGATTTTAAATATAATGAAAGACATTAATCTACACATCCAAAAAGCTCAGAAAACTCCCAGTTGGATAAACTCAGAGAGCACTACATCAAGGTACACTATACTAACACTGGTGAAAACCAAAGACAATCTTAAAGGAGCAAGACAAAACAACAAATCATGTAAAAGGAAGTTTCAGTAAGATTAACAACTGACTTCTCATCAGGAACTATGGAAACTAAGAGACTGTGAGATAACATCTTTAAGAACTGAAAGAGGCTGGGCCTCTGCTCGCTGGGGCTCTGCTCCGCATTCCACAGCCTGGGCCACCCGGCCCCAGGCCCCAGCTGCCTCTCTGGCACTGGGTGTGTCCCACGCTCGGCGCCAACCTGGGCCAGCGGCGCACAAGCCGAGGTCGTCGTCCTTCGTTTCTCTGGCCGGGCGGGCGAAGGGGAGGTGGCGTTGGGTCCCGCACACATTTGCGCGCTTGGGGCTGGCGTGTGGCCGCAGGGCCTGCGCATGGCTGCCGGGCCTACACGTGGTCCCCGGGCCTAAGCGTGGCCGCGGGGCCTGCGCCTGCGCGTGGCTGCCGGCCTCAGGTGGCAAACTGAAGCTGAAAACAAGGATTAAGAACTTGCAACTATAAGCAACAGAAAGAAACATTAGCTGTCTTAAACCAATTGAGAAATATATTGTATAGGAGGATTTTCTCTACCTATGGACAGTGAGAGCTAATCACAAGATGGCTGCTGTGCCGCATCAACTGATAATCATCTCTGCTTACCAGAACCACTTTCCTGAAACTGCATTCCACGGAGACTCACCTACAATTGCAGAACTGCAGGAGACCCACCCTTGATCCAACCTTGAATAGAATCTATGTTCCCTATTGTCAAAAACTTTATGACCTGATAACTGAAACTCCTGGCCCCTCTTCCTTTACTTGCATGTATCACATTTTCAATAACTCCTCTGGAAGACAACTGTATATAGCAGAGATAGTGTAATAGGAGTGGGAAAGGGCAGAGGGTCACACATAGGATAAAAAACATATAATATGTATACATATGTATGAAAGTAGAAATGGAATATTATTGATGATAACATGCTTGATTAAGCCACTATGCAGTTTATCCTAGATGGGAAACCACATTTAGTATGTTGTGATGATGCTCAGGGAATGAATGTTAGGTAATTAAAAAAAAAAAAAAAAAGAACTGAAAGAAAAAGTCTATCAACCAAGATTTCTATATCAGGCAAAAAAAAAGAGGGAAAAACTAAGACATTTTAAGATAAGCAGAAGTTTATGGAGTTTGTTACCACTATTTCTTCCAGGAAAGAAAGGCTAAAGAAAGACTTTCAAAATTAAAATGAAAAACCCTAGGCAATAATTCAAAGCCATGTGAAGAAATAAAAGGCTCTGGAAAATATGACTACATGAGCAAATATAAAAGCTGCACTATGTTACTCTTGATTTGTAATGAAATAGGAAAGAATAGCCATAGACATTTTTTGAGAGTAATAAAAGGGGACATGTCTCACTAGATATTTAGCAATTTAAAAATGTGTTAGTAAACGAGGAATTTAGGGAAATTTTTTCAAAAAAATAAGTATTAAATGTGAACTATCACAATTGTGACATTTCACATTCAAAGGAAATTAATCTATTTTTTAATAAATGGCATAGAAAGAAGCAAACAATGAAACAAGTCTAGATTTCATCAAAATGAATTTCAGATGAACTAAAATAAAAATGTAAATAAATTATTAAAATGCTAGATTAAGTGACCAGCAGATGGCGGAATGGTTACATCACTGGGCTCGCATGCCATGGTTCGAGTCCTGGACCCAGTGGCTTAAAACTCACACAAGGTACATGTGTGTACATGTCCAGAATCCTAAAAGGAGAAGGGAGGGGAAGGGATTGGAGCAAGAAATCACTTGCTCCCTGTCTGTCTCTGTCTCTCAAAGGCAATGGGCATTATCTGCAAACATTATAAAGGTGGTTTAACAGCCCACTGACACTTAAGGCAAGAGAGCACATACGCCCTATAATCTCTAAGGAAAAAAAAATGCTAGATTAAAATATAAGTATTGGAAACTTCTATATCTAATATAATTTTTTTTTCTATTCCTCCCACTAAATGTAACTAAAAACCCTAGTCTCTCCAGGCCAGAAAACTGCAGTCATTTACACACATATCCGTAAAGTCAATGACAGATTTATATGCAGGTGCACACTCATGTGCCCCTAGCTGTGTCTGAGAGTGCTAGGCTATGGCCTGATCAGGGATTTGAGGACATGAGGTTGGCAGGTCAACAGGCAAGGCCTCGTAAAATTAGTCAGGCACTAAGGGCATTGATAGTGAGGGTAAAGGTCAGGTAAGTAGACACACTAAACTAAGTGTGGCAGGTGTAATTAAGGGCACATCATGATTAACATGAACAAAACCAAATCTGTATAACTACAATCAGGTATTGATAAGAAAAGTGAGTGGACGGGAAACTGAAAATACCATATAACGAGACAAACAAGAATTTACAAGAATATCCAAAGATTATTTGATAGAGGATGACCAAATTTGAAGTTTGGAGATTAAAACAAACAAACAAACAAAACAGATCATGGTTAGAGAAGCACATACAAGTTAATGACCATCTGTGGGTTTGAAGCTAGGAGTGGCAGAACAATGCAGTCAAAAACACAAAATCAAGATTGAAGCCTGTCAGATGAACACCTAGGAAGTCTGACTCCCGAGGTCCCCAGTGGCACATGAAGCTGCTCCCTTCCAGGAAACACATTAAAGGAACCTAGCAACCCTTGACAGAAGGAATCAAGTAAGGAGAATTTGTACAGACAAAAGGACTGAGGTACAGAAGATGAATGAGTTTCCAAGGTCCAGAAGCAAATTCACAGCAAAACCTGGGTGAGGCCCCAGGCCTCCATAATCCTGACCATTTCTTTAATACACTGATTTTGTGGCAGCCTTTAGTTTGTTCAGTTAAATGAGATACCTAAATATAATGGGTGAAGAGAATAAGTGGCCTTTCTGTCCCCTGAAATAAGGGTGAAACTGTCTTGAAACACCAGTTCATAAACCTCTTAAAAGATTTCTCCAAATTTCTAAGGAGTGGGTAGTGGATAATGTTCTCCTGGCTGCTTTAAAAGAGAAGCATTCTAATACCATACGTCCAGAGTCTGACATTGAGACTCAGTCACAGTCCACAAAAACCTCTCTATACAACTGAGCCCTTCCTACACAGAGTAAAGGAAGTTACTTAACATATTTAATTTTTAGTTGGCTTTGAGATGTATCCTTTTTTTCCCCCACTGGCAATATCATATAGTAATTTTTTAGAGACTGAAGGTTGAAACTGACACAAGGGACCAGCAGGTGGTATAATGGTTATGTCCCTGGACTCCCACATAGTTGACTGCATTTTGAGTGCCGGACCCAGAGGCTTGACTCTCACGCCAGGCATGTGTGCATGTGTGCCCAAAATCACAAGAGAAGAATGGAGAAGGGATTAGGGGCATGGTCATCCACCTAAGGGACGGGATTTCTCACTTGCAGTCTCTGTCTCTCCATGGACCGTGCGTGCCCTATGGCAAAATTTAACTTAAAAAAAAAAAAAAAAAAAAAAAAAGGACTTTCTTAAAGTAGACAGAATCAATCAACCGTACACCACTGTTGTTCCTTAGACTATGGTAGTAACTAGAGAGGTCATCTGTAGTTCCTACTGGATTTGCCAAAGAAGAAATGGGCCTAGAGAATCTGTTCCAGGGAAACTAAATAGTGAACTCTTTAAAAAGGGATTTAGTACTTATTGAAAACCGAGCATTCTTTCTAAGATATCTACTAAATTTCTGCAGAATCGGTTCCCATATCATGGCTCTTCTATTACACCAAGTAAAATAACAAGCCCTGTAAGATCAAATTTTAAATAAACAATAATTACAAACATCCATTTCTCAAAATCTACTTATACGTGTCTACAAAGTACCATGTATATGCAGACTGAGTTGTATTTATGGAGTCTTTAACTACTCATGGAGACTTAATAATCAGGTTTATTATGCGAATATCCACTTACCTGTTCTTTTCTCCCAAATATATCAGTCAGTCAAGCCACTAAACACTACATAGAAAACAAGTCTATTTATCTGATTTCTACTTGGGAGCATTTGCTGAGAGCTTCGATGTACTAAGCATTAGTATCATGCCATACAATTTTTACAGAAAGAGGATGGAATTGCAATAAAATAATATCTTGCTGTTATTAAACAAAGATGTATTAGATGTTATTTTATCAAGAAAACACACACACACACTCCTAATAACCCCCGAGTCCTTGACTGCAGTGAAGAAAACATGAGACAGAGACTACCGAACAAATGAATGACTTTATTAAGAGAGGACAAGATTGGTATTTACTTCAGTCAAACCATTCAGGAGAACTAAGCACACAGACTTTGGTTTAAAAAATATTCATACTGACAATGCTTACAAAATCAACTGGGATATAAGGTGTAAAAAACAAAACCATGAAAACACAAGCTTGCATAGATGAACTGATGTATATGTATGATTGGCATTTGAGAGAGGCTTGAACAATGGAGAGTGCCTTAATGACTCTGACCATCTCAACCTCCCAGGACACACGGAACTCACCAGCACCACAATTCTCATGATCCTCAAAGAGTCATGAGCAGGAACAACTTGTGCTATATGGAGGTGAATGGAAATAGACTGTTTCCACCAGCTTAGTCCACGTTGGTGAGCTATACCCTCCAGGGGACACCGTTAAGGCATCCACAAAGTGTCCCTCACAGTTTCACTTAATCTCTAGATAGGCATATGGTTTGAGGTGACCTCTTTGTGTTCTGTCACGACAGACAACTATCTGTGACGACAGACAACTATCTGTGACGACAGACAACTATCGTCCACCAAGATTCTGTTAGGTTCCATCAAATAATTATTTCAAAGCTGCCTTTCTCTCTGGAGCTTGGCTGTAAATTGAGGAGCACTTGGGATAATGTCACATTTATTTCATAAACATATCCACATTCCAAATGTCAAAAGGGCTCTAATCAAGGAATCTGCAAGTGCCAGGGCACTACGTAATCTCTCGAGAGAGATCACTTTTCAAAATTATAAGACGAATGACTGCACCACCTCAAATTTCCTGAGCAACTTGATTTTTATGAACAAACTCTTACACTTTCTAATTCAGCACCTATTCAAAATACACACTGTGCAGGGATAGATTCTTAAGGGACACTCCATCACAGAGAATTCTCATTTTGAAATGTCACTTTTATAAACTTTCTCCCCACTATACTTTCTCATTATTTATAATACCTCATAAAATGAATATTGGATTGCCTGAAGACGGAGGTGAAAAATATAGCTATTTCTGAGAAAGGGCATGTGACTTTAAGTTTAAAGTAAGAGCTGAAGCTATGCCTATGGGAATTTCAGACACTAATTCAATCAGAAGTACAAAAATTCTGACATTGTAAACCTTCTCATAAAATTTAACATCTAGAAACTATTTTAGCAATTAGGGTCTGAAACTGACTGCAACAAAAACATATTCTAAATATATGATATGTCATAGTATATTTTCTTAAATGTCTTTTGTTCACTACTCTTAATTCTTGTTCTTTTGTGAAGGACATGCCACTCAAATTCTGTATTTCAATTCTTTTACTCTTTCTATATGAACCTCAGCAATAAATAATGGGGCTCTAAGTTATAGAATCAATTCTGCCCTTATCTGAAATGCTGGAACCAGCACAGTGCTAGCTCGGATGCAATGAAGTTACTCAAAAGAGAAAAACATTTTCTAGTTTTTTGAGAATACACAAAAGCATATTAAATCTAACAGAAACATATTAAAACTATTTGGAACATGTTACTATGTAGTACTCCTATGTATGAGAAAGAGAACGGTTTTTAGGGCCAAAGAGTCCCACGAATTACCATGATTACTTACATAATTTTGTTAATTTGTGGCAATCAAACAGAACCTTTCAAAACCACTCCAGTGTCTTCCTTACCATAGTAAGTTTCCTGGTTAGTTTTCTCATAAAAGTAATAATACAGAAATACTCTTCATACCAACAAACCTCTTATTTCAAGTAAATGTCTCCATTTTGTTTGGTTTTCTTTTTTATTAATGGTAAACACTTGACTACACAAGGGTGTTGGTAAATTTTTTACAAATAATCTGAATGCCTTCACTGTACAATAGAATCTTTGCAAATACTTTCTACACAGAAACAGTCTACACAGAAGAAGGGGATGGTCAACTCTCACTTATTCAGAAAGTGATCATCTGGTAAGGAAGGCTCTGGCCAGGAAACTGCCACTGTCCTGTAAGTCTTCGCATCGTGCCACTGCTTATTCAGAGGCTGGAAGGCAAGCCAGAATAGAATAACGTGTGCACGGTGTTACTTACGGGTCAGTCACAGCTCAGTGGAAGAGTAGGGCCAAAATTCCTAACGACAAGGATCCTTGGAGATCCTTGCCCTCTGAATTGTATATCTTAACGGAGAGTTGACCGCTGTCCACCTAGAGGAAGGAAAGTCCATTGACCTTGGTCAGAGTCAAACTAATTTAAGGCAATATTGCTCCTCACAGACATTGCTGGCATAAAGTGCAGGTCTCACAGAAAAAAGTGACTCGGCGGCAGTGAGATTTTCCCAGTTTACCCTTTCCTTCTTGACATCTCTAGAATTAAATTTTGGCATTTCTAATGACATTTATTAAATGCTAGGAGCAGCCTACCTGTTTCCTTTAATAATCTTACGTATCACCATGGATAAGAGAGATCCCTCCAAGATGCTGAATGGCACTCATGCCCCATGCAGCATTAACAGGACAGTTTCCAATTGGCTTCTCTTTGCCCATCTTAGCTATTACGGGCTAAGAAGTAAAATGTGTTTTATCAGCAGTAAGATCAGCAGATATGGCTTTAAGACTCACAGGCACCACCAGAGATGAGAAGAAAATAGGACCACAGTTTTAAATAGTCACTTCTTGGACAAAGTACTTTAACTTATTTTTCTTTTTGCTAAAAGATCAAGCTTTGATTTATTTTATGACTGCCTCTAAAAAGTAAATGTTAACAGACTGTGGGACACTACATACAGTGCAATCAACCTGACAGTGCTCCCTTTCAATGTTAGTATTTCATGTATGTGTATACATGTGTGTGTGTGTGTGTGTGTGTGTATAAATAAATACGCACCATGTTCCCAAAAGAGAAAAGGCCTTTTACTTGGAAGCTCTACTCTGTCCTCAGTACTTTAAAAAGCTGCTTACCAAAAGGGGTCTTACTCCTTTGCCTTAGATGGGAGACCTGCAGCCAGTCACCAGTTTTTCTTTCAAGAAAATCAGCATTGAATAATGAATCATCGTGGTATAGTCCAGTGATTTTTATACAAAGGCAACACTAATTAAAAATCAAGGCCCTAAAATGTTAACCACTTATGTGGTAAACCGCACCATATTATAGCAGGTTATTTCCAATTTGGCACAAGACAAAATTCAGACACAATTTGACAGTACTAAAAAAAATAATGGTCAGCTACAAGCTAATTATTTTTATACTGAAAAATCCTTTGAGGAAAAGGGATAAACAACTGTGAACTTATTCATCATCCAGTTCAGCTTCAGGCCACAGCAGAAAAGAAAAGAACTGGGCTCACAATTTTCTAGTGAGTTCAGTGGCATGCATGGCCCTAGGGTCATCCACTTGGGATTATACTGACCTAGATCCAAATACCACTGCCATTCTAAAAAAGCTTTCTTCTGCAAGCGTCTATCCATATCTGTTTTTCCTAACTTCAATGTTTTCCTATGACAAAAACCTTACAGTTGTTTTTTTGTTTGTTTTTGCAGCTCATTAGTATGCTGCTGGTTGTCATAAACTCACTTGAGAAACAGTAACTTAAAGGTATGCAAAGTTACTTTCTGAAAGTCTCAAAGTTCTTTTAAAAAATGTGAAGCAACTGTCCAGTCCCCACCCCCGCCAAAATAATTAGGTCTAGAAAGTAGTTTGAATGCTATTTTTTTTTTTAAAGTCAGAACATTTAATCTGATACTTCCCTAACCTTACTTCTAGGCAATAATCTAGAAAAGGATGTGTGGGGAGAGGTGGTGTCCATGCCAACATAGCCTTAGCATACTCTGCTCATTAAACAGCACTGGTTTTACTGGGGCCTGGCCTCCAGACATCAGATATAGAAACAAAAGTTTTCCAATGTCAGAAATATTAGTTTACATCACAAGAGTAAAGCATAATACATTGTGGCTCTAAAAATTAAATTGCATATGTTCCAGCCACAGGAACAACATAAATGCTTCCACATTTATATAAAAAAAATGACAAAGTAAAAAGCAGAGGACACAAAGGAAGAGTGGCAGTTCAATAAAACACAGTTGTTAATTGTTTCTACAGTCTCAAAGATAATTATTTCATTATGTGAATGAGAAGGAATAGAGGATTTAACTGAGTGAGTTTAGTTTCTATCTCCTTATTCATAGGGAAATAATTACTCTGATGTTCTTAAAAAGTATTTGCTTTACAAAAAAAATATTTTAAAATTCTAATCTTTTAAAAACCTAAAAAAAGTAATAAACTTTGAATACAGATGTTAAACTGGATAGCACAAGGGAAATACCACATTTGGTCACTAATGTAAGACAGCTGAAACACTAATACTCTGGTTAAGTAACACTTAAAGTGACCTGACACTTTTTTGAATGAAATATCTCCAGTTAACATTTTGCTATAATAAATATGACTGAATTAAGTACATGAGAGGCAAGAGAAGTGCAGAATTTTTAAAGTAAAACTGATCACTGTATGAGATAGAAAAATAAACATTTATCAAATAAAAATATGGCAAATGATGTTTCCCATTTGCCTACTTATCAAATAAAAATACACTGTTTTTTCTTTAAAGTCACCATTAAAAACTTTTAAAAACATGAAGCAAAAATCACAGGGCAGATAAAAAAAATATAGCATTACTGTAAGTTAACAGGCCTAAGTTTTTTATATTGAAACCACCATGTGGAATTTGACTTGAAGTCAGGACCTCTGTTTTGTCTCTCTTCCCTATTCAAAGGAAGATTTTGTTTGTTTGTTTTAATATTCACTTCATCATAGTTATTCAAAGTCCTATTATTTTTCCTTTCCTAAATTTCTCCAAAGTGTCTTTTTCCCTTGGAGTTTCATTTCTTTCTGGAGTATCATATGCCCCAAACTTAACTCTTACATACCTTTTATTCCAATTCCTATAATACAAAAACTTTGGGACTAATGCTCTTTCTCAAAAGGAGAGAGCCAATCCATTGTGAAAAACTGAAAAACCTCCCGAACACTTCCTGACTTTAAAGACTACTTGCAGAAAGATAAGGCAAACAGAATATAGTTCCCAGTGGAGAAAACAAACAGGTTAACAACTTTTCCTTGTCACCTGTGTATTTCATTCCTAAACAAAGACCGTATTAAAATGTCAGAAATGGCAGATTCATAACAACAAAAAGTAATAACAAATCAAGCTGAAGGGGTACATAAGAGCGTGTTTTTGTGAGAGATTGCCAACAAATACTGCTATGTCTTTTAAGCAAGAGAAAAACTTCAGTCTACAGCTAGAGAGACTGATGGCATCAACACTTACGCAAACAACGCAGTCATCTCCCAATTCCATTTCCCTTCGCTCTGCAAGTAAATGTGAAGAAAAAAAAAAGGAGGGGGGGGGATACAAAGTTTTTCATTCTCAGTTGACTTTGCACAGACCTGAGTCAAAATTTCAGAAAATTACATTTTGTCAGTTTACAGTAATAAATTCTCCATTGCCCAGGAGCTTCAGAAAGCCTTTGCTCTTGATGAAGCAAAGACAAAGTGTTAAAGAATGACATCTGGGCCAATCTTCCTAAGGAGTTTATAAGGATAGGCAAATCTCGATAGTCCACGTAGTCAGAATTACACAGTTCAACTGCTACCAGTGTTTCTTTTTTCAATACTTTATGGTTGTGATTTTTTTCTCTTCCTGAAGAATACAAAAAGCAAAGGCTCTGTCCTTCAAAATATCATATATTAAAAGGACAAAAAAACTATTTCCTATATTCTTTTATTCTGAATTGCATCTAACCGTTATGTTTTACTCTTTATCATTCATCTCCAAAATTGTTAATTGCTAAATAAAGGCTAATCCTTGGATATCGATGCTCCACACCTAACAAGATGGCGTTTTACAGAGCTCTCAGAATCCTATATCCCAGGAAGTATATGCAGCATAGAGGTGGCCAAGACTCAGAAGCTACATTTTCTTATACTGCCCAAGTGATCGGGAATAACCAAAACATTTGAAATAAACTAAAATTATTTATGGTCAGAAACACACTTGAGGATAAATCCCAGGAGTACAAACACAGGAGGAAAAAAGTAAGTGTGGAATGCATTCTGCATCATCCAGTAATATCTGCCACAGTGAGTCCATTTTCCAGGCAGGTTTCTAGGCTTTTACTGCTTATAATGGAAACCTAAGGAGGGGAGGGAATAAAAAAAGTACAATTAAGGAAAAATCTTTAAAGCTCAAGATAGTTTTCTGTTCCCCTGCTCAGGTAAAAATAATTTATCTTTTTATCTATGCATTTTAAGTGGTTTAATGTTTCCTTTGTTCTTGACTGTGAAATATATATCGATATGATGTGTTATTTTAATGTCGGGCATCAAACCTATGTCCGGGACAGAAAGACTTCACTAGAAGAGTGATACATGCATAGTTTGAGAAAGAAAAGCATAAGCTACTTGCAGTTACATCAGGAATGGTACAAAGACCACCAACTGAGAGAAACTGTGCCTAGCAGGCTATTCTTTTTCTTTTTAAATATATTTATTTAAAAATATATATTTTTAAATTTTGTATACATTCAATCACTCTTTATCATTACAGCAAACAAAATGAATTTCCCAGCATGCATACACAATATATTAGTCCAGTTAAAGATATTATACACGTTATCATCAACAGATGAGTATCCATTTTTGTGTCCATTCAATGTTTTGCTTCTTTCTTTTCCCCTTGATTCCCTTCCTCTCACCCTCCCCCATTTCCCGTCCTCCTCCAGCACCGTCGCTGGTACCCACAACTGTTCTCCATGCTTTTATGTCTTCTAATTTTCCAGCTGTTCTGATAAAGACACTTATAATGTCCAACTAATCCCATATTTTCAAACAATGTCTTTTGTCTTATTTTCAACAATATTTTGTGTCTTTTCATCATTGTATAAATGTCAGAATGGCAGAGAGCAACGCTGTTCAAAAACTGCACATACCTGACCACACCCACGGAGATTCTGATTTAACTAGTTGGGAATGTCATCTGTACAATGCTATCTTTCAATCTCAGGAAGCAAGATAATTTACAGAAATTTGGAAAGATTATCACTAAATTTAGAAAGAATAATAAAAAAATTAAGAGGAGCCAACATGTGGTACAATGGTTGGGGCACTGGACTTCCACATGGTTGACCCCAGTTTGAGTCCCAGACCCAGTGGCTTGAAAGTCACACTGGGTGCATGTGTATGTGTGCCCAAAATTTGGAAAGAAAGGCGGAGAAGGAATTGTGACGTTGCTATCCCCCAGAGGGTGGTTTCCTTGTGTGTGTGTGTGTGTGTGTGTGTGTGTGTGTGTGTGTATCTGGTGAACGCACGCTAACTATAGCAAAAATTCTCTCTATAAAAAAAGTGTGTGTGTGTAAATGAGAAAGTTAATAAAGAAACTACATTTTCATTATTGTATTTTACTAGTCATAAAAATAAACAGAAATGAATGCATATCCTTGAAAGTGCAAACATGCCCAACTATTCTTTCCATTTGGGAGGTCTGGTCTAATTTGGGTATCTAAATTGATTCATTTTCTTTTTTATTTTTTTGTCTTTTTAATTTTGCCATAGGACATGTGCAGTTGCTGGAAAGAGACAAAGAGCAAAGGAGGAAAAGCTAGAAATCCCCCATCATAGGGCACAGTCACACTGCAATCCCTTCTCCTCCATTCCTCTCTCCTGCTGGGATTTTGGGCACACATGCACAAGCACCCAGTGTGTTTTCAAGACACCAGTCCAAAATGCAAACTGAAGAGTCAATCATGTAAGATCCAGCTGCCTTAATTACCACCCCACCAGCTGATGCTCTTTCTTCTTCTTTTTTGTTTTTTTTGCTCCACTTTTCTTTTGTGTACTAGCTTTTCTCTTTCTGATTTGTCATAGAGCATGTGTGCAAACTGGAGAAACAGAAAGAGGGAAAGTGAAAAATCACTCCCTGCAGGGGGGATGGCCAAGCAGCAACCCCTTCTCCATTCTCCTCTTGGGATCTGGGGCACACACATACATGCACCTAGCATGATTTTTAAGCCGCCAGGTCCAGAATTCAAACTATACTCAGCCATGTGGAGTCCAATGCCTCTACCACCACACAACCTGCTGGTCTCTTTTGTATAGAAGTTTTGTGTAGGATGTGTGGGTGCCTATTTAACCGAACTAACAGGATCATGAGCAAATGGGAAACAAAAGCTGGTAAAGAAAAAGTAATTCAATCAATGTAAGCAGAGGTCACAATAACCCTTTAAGAATCTGACAAAAGCCATGAAGTCACTCTAGAGGAAAATGCAAATGCACAGAAAATCTTCCTCAATTTAAAGTATTTTATTTATTTATTTTAATCTTTTTTTATGTTTTAATACATAAAGAATAGTATAGTGATCTGCTAAGGGGAAGATAACTTATTTTTCCTCTCTAGTGACCACAATGCGCCATTTGATTTCCTACCATAACACGAGGCTTATAAAGACAATGCTAAACCTGACCACATACTCCTCTTACCTTTATGTGAGGACTCTGACTTTGAGAAATGACGTGTAGAACTATGCTGGTTTGTAAAGGGATTGTAATCCAGATCCTCAGCATCTGCCATGGCGGGTGGTGGTGGTCTAGAGAGAAGCCAGAAGTCAGAGGTAGTCTAAGAAGGGCCACTACACTTCAACCTCTCAATGGCTTACAAGGTAAAATCAGTTTCGTAGAAATAAAAAGCCAACTGCTACAGAATTCACACCTTCATTCTAGGACAGGTGTATGACTTTGAATAAATTATTCTTCCTTACTGTTTCTTTGTTTTGACATACAAAAATTAAATAAAAAACAAATATTTTCTTAACACCTAATCACTGTGCTAGACAAACAAAGACTCAGGAGATACAATTGCTGTCATTAGTAAGAAATTTACTTTGCTTTGGTAGATTGTATTAAGGAAAAGAAAGAAGAAGAAAGGAATAACCAGAAGAAGTAATAAAGTTAAGGAGGGAAAGAAAAAAAAGGAAAGGAAGGATTGAAAGCCAGGCAGAGAGAGGCAGGGAGAAACGCTGACAAACACAATTTCAAGAGCAAAGTTCTCTTATCCACTAGGTGGCGAAGCAGAACTTAGTACATTTCCAAGTTTCTATGTAATAAATGTGTTTGCAACTCTTTTTGTCAAAGAAAAAATATAAACCAAATAGAAAATGTTTCCAACTCTAAGCTTCTCGTTACTTAACACAGACTTTTGCATGTATTTAGCATTAATGAAGATAAAAACAAAACCTCTCATTCCTTTGTTGTTTCCTTAAGGTGTACTCAAATTTTGCACTAAAGCATGGAATCAGATGAAATCAAAATATAACCATGTGCTTTGCAGGATATTTTGTGTAATTACATATAAAATCTAGACGGCAAAAGGTCCTGGGGTTTGTAAACTGACAGACCAGTTTGGTACAATGGGCTCTGTCATTTCAAAGTAAAGGCAACAAGCCAGCCAGCAACATGGTGGTGAAGGTGGCTGGATCCCACATGGCTGGCTGCACAGTTCAAGTCCTGGACCTGGTGGCTTGGAAACAAAATGGGCATGTGTGCATGCTTAAAAACCAAGAGGAAAGGTGACTGTCGTATACCCTTCTCCAATAGGAGGTGCTTTCTTACTGTCCCTCTGTTTCTGCCTCTCTCTGGTGAGGGCCCAAGTCCCAAAGCAAGTTTAAATAAATAACGTAAAAACAGGTATTGTCCAATTTCTCACCCTGTCCCCAGTTGGTCTCTTCCTGGGTTTAGTACCTGGAAGAGGTGAGCACAGCATGACATAACCCTGTGTCTATATTGAGAACTGTGCTATGGGTTCTCCATAGATCATCTCAATTAATTTTCAGGACAAGGCTGCATGGTAAGTCAGGATCAAGGAAAAAGATGCTGAAGTTGTGAAATGGGACAGAATGCCAGAAAGTTCTCTAGAATCTCCATGCACAAGTAAACAAATCATACTGCAATGTCTTCAGTTTCTTAGCATGCAGTTCTGTTAGTGTTTTGGTTTTACAGAAGACAGATCTTGGCTTACTGCTTCCAGAGGTCCTACCAAATTAATTTGTTACATTGGAGATGGCTATTTCAAAGTTAGGAGTATTCATACAAAGTTGGGAAAATCTTAACTAATCAATAGTTTGTTTTATATTTTTTTGCTGTACTAGGATTACCTGTTTCCTAATTTCCTAACGAAATGATTTATATCTTTTTTTTTTTTTGAGAGGTTTTTGCTATGGGATGTGTGCGCTCGCCAGAGACAGTGAGACAGACAGACAGAGAGACAGAAAGCAAGAAATCACCCCCCAGGGGGGATGGCCATGCCGCAATCCCTTCTCCTCCTTTCTCCTCTCGGGATCTTGGGCACGCACGCACACACACCCGGCATGAGTTTAAGCCACCGGGTCCAGGACTCAAACCACAGTCGACTACACGGGAGTTCAGCGACACAGCCATTACACTAACTGCTGGACCCATGATTTATATCTTTAACTGATATAGTGATAGAGTCAAATACCTTTCAGAATTCACTTCTAAAGTCACTTTGTCAAGAGAATTTCCTGAACACCTAAACCAAGCTAAGCATCTCCTTATGCTCTTATAATACCCTATTACTTTTCATCCATAGCACTTAACAGTATCATAATAATTATCTAGATAACTGTTTAAATTAGAAACTTCATAAGAGTATAAAATAGTCCACTCTTGAATTGTTTATCCCAGTTCTAGCAATTATTAGAGTTAACAATAAATATTTCATAAATAAGTGACTATCGATGTATGTCAACAATGTCCTAGGAGCTGAATGAAATTTATAACATCTTTATACTTTTCTAAGGGAGAAATTCAAGTAAAATGCCAAGTAGTATCACCAGAATTAAATATATAAAATGTATAATAAAAGTAGTTAAAACAATTTGGAACAGGTTCGAGATTTTCCAATGAAAGAGTCAGAATTAATTCCGATTGCTAAATTGTTTTCTATTTCCTTAAAGACAGTAAAAGATCTTTTTAATAGCTAGAGGGTATGTCTGTTCACCAGAGGGTGACAGAAACACATTTCTCTACCCTGTAGATGAGGGCGTGCACATATGCACTTGCACCTGGGGTACTGTTCAAGCCACCATGGACAGGATTCAAACTACGGTTGGCTGTATGGGATTCTGCTACCTTAACCAGTATGCTGCAGGGCTGGGCCACGAGAGTAGAAAATTTTGGACTGAATAAAGCAACTGAATTTCGATCACGAACGCTACAGATTCTGTGTGACCACTTGTTTTTCCTCTACTACTACTATTATTACACTTAGAGAAACTCTGTACAGGTCACTAACTAAATTTTTCCACCATGATTGAATATGAAAGAAATCATAGATTCTAACCAGTCTACGTATATACTCCAATATTAGTTCCACAAAATATCCGTAAGTCCAAGATATATAACCTTTAAATTTATTGTTTTATTTAATAGTTTCACTATGTTGAGATCATCTTACTTCAGCCTGCCAGCTATAATTACAGGCATGCAACACCACGCCCAGCTTTAAGTGTGGACAGGAAATAGAACCAGAGCCTCCAGGCAGTGCCAGCCTGTGGAGCGCAGCACCTGAGCGGCACACGCCACCACAGCTGCGCTAAGCTTTAACTTTTAACTATGAAAAAATAGGTATCGTAACATTCTTATCCACTTGAATATTCATGTAAGTGAATATGCACACAAAACTTTCCTTTAAGTGATATTCAAAGACAACTCTCAGGTCAAAAATGATTTCAGTTCTACTAGTGATACAAGTTACTTTTCACTAATAGCCATTTAAAATATGAGCACTTATTCGTTCTTCTTCAAAATGCCAAATATTTTTAGAGTACCTATTGCATCCCGTATACTTGTTTTCAGTTTAATATACCTTATTAACTCTCTCATATTGTTTTGGGTCATCTGCTGTCAAAGTTGCTAGTGTTGTAAAGAGAACAAGGAGAAAGAATGTGAAATAATCCTAAAGATGACTGGAATTCATTTAACTAAAAACAGTATAATAATCCAGACATATCTATCTATTGAGAACAGAATAGCTATTTCTTATTTTACTTGGATACTATAGTGATGTACGAAACTACATAGTTTTAAAATGTGCCTTAAAAATGTTTGGCATGTGCTTAATTAAAACCTGTAAGAACAGATTTTTATATAATTAGATACACTACACTACTATTGTTTTCAGAGCAATACAAACCTGATACGATTTTCTGGAGGGTATTTTTTGAAAGCACATAACTTTAAAAATAGAGGATGGCTTTTTAAGGACACTAAATGCATTCACTTGAAGGAAAGACTGTCTAGCAGCTTAAGTGTGTGCAACGAATGGCAGCAACTGTGTATGTTCTCCAGTACAGTAAAACTTTTACTTTAAGAATTAGTATTATTAATCAGAACCAAAACTGAAGGTTTTAATAATTCGGAGTTTTCAAAATGTTAGATTTAGTGTTATTATTTTTTTAATAGCTAGAGAGTGTAGGTGCTCACCAGAGAGAGACAGAGACGGAGAGTAAAAGAGGAGAAGGCATCCCCTCCTCCAACGGGCTGCAGTCACACTGCAACCCCTTCTCCTCCATGTCCCCATCATGTAAAATTCTGGGGCATGCACACACGTGTGCCTGGCGTGGTTTTCAAGGTCCGGGTTTGTAGCATACTTTTTTAGCCATGTGGGATCTGGCTCCCTTAACCACAAGATTATAGGACCAGCCTTAATATTACTTTAGTTTTTTTGTAATAAATATATCTTCTTCCTATTTCTTTTTTTAAGAGAGATTTTTGCTATAGAAAGTGTGCCCTTGCTAGAGACAGACACACAGAGAAACAGTGAGAAATCACCCCCCCAGGGGGAGGGCCACATTGTAATCCCTTCTCCTCCATTCTCCTCTTGGGATCTTGGGCATACATGCCCAGTGTGAGTCTTTTTTGTTGTTGTTGCTTGTTTTTTTTTAATTTTTTTTAATTTTTAATTTTTTACATTTTTTTAATACATTCAATCACATTTTTTAGCTTACAAGGTGATCATTTCAATCCTAAGCCACTGTGTCTGAGACTCACACTGTGCTCAACTATGCGGGAATCCAGTGACATAAACACTACGCCATCTGCTGGTCCCCTCTCTTTCTATATTAATCCTATTTTATTTTGAAAGATAACAAAAAGCAATAGAGAAAAAAATAAGTTGCTTTCCCAGGGACATATGTAGGCAACCTGAGAAAGACAGACAGCAGTTGCTCTATCGCTGTAAGTCTGCTTTAGAGAAGTCAGGAAGTATTGATATGGTTGCCATAGCTACAGCTAGCTGATCTAGTGGGATTAAAATAGTCTGCAATGATTCAGGTAGTTTCCTAGGACATCAAAACTCAGAAAGAAATGTCTTTGGGCATGCAAAAATATACATGTACCAAAGTGACCATGAAGTCCAGTGAAAAAAAAATTTTTTTTTGTTTGAAAGGTTTTTGCTATAGGGCGTGTGCGCTCGCCAGACAGACAGAGACAGACAGAGAGACAGAAAGTAAGAAATCACCCCCAGGGGGGATGGTCACGCCACAATCCCTTCTCCTCCATTCTCTCGGGATCTTGGGCACACACGCACACACATCCGGCGTGAGTTTTAAGCCACCGGGTCCGGGACGCAAACCGTGGTCGACTACGTGGGAGTCCAGCGACATAGCCATTACTCTAACTGCTGGTTCCCAAGTCCAGTGAAAATTTAAAACACAAGGTTTTATTTAGGAAAATGGTTCATCTCATTCTTTCTTGCTGAAGGCATCAATTCAGTGAATGCAATGGCAAGAATTGGTCCTAACAAAAAATACATTTCAGTTTCTGAAAAATTCCCGATTTGACTTGTGCAACCCAAGTTGCCAACAGTGGTATTCAGAGCTTCGACACATCAGAAGGACAAAAGGAGTATAACCAAGGTAAAGACTACAAATAAAAGTTTGAGAATAATTCCACAAGATTTGATATCACCTCAAAATCACAGTTATGGATCTCCTTGCCAAAATATAAACACTTCTCAGGTGACTGATAACTCCCTTACTGACACTAAACTCAAGTCCCTCATTCTCCTTTTCAGTTACCTCTTTTTTAAAAAAATATTTCTCTCAGAATCAGCTGATGGCGTAATAGTTACGTCACTGGACTTCCACGTAGTCAGCCATGGTTTGATTCCCAGACTCAGCGGTTTGAAACTCATGCCGGGTGCATGTGTGTGCACCCAAGATTCCAAGAAGAGACTGGAGAAGGAACTGTGGTGTGGCCATCCCCCCTAGGGGTGATTTCTTGCTGTCTCTCTGTCTCTGTCTCTCCAGCGAGCACACACATCCTACAATAAAAATCTCTCATAAAAATATATTTCTCTCTTCCTTAAGTGAGATAGAGAGATAAAAAGAGAGAGACAGCACCCCCAAACAGGGTCTTGACACCATAATCCACTCTCATTCCTCAACCAAAGCCAGGTCATGTGCAAGCTTGGGCCCAGAATACTTAGGCTGCCCTTCACACCTGAACCAAGAGTCTTCCCATGTGGGACTGTCTTGAAGAGTGTCATGTTTTAGTGCTGCACCAACATCCAGCCCCTTCTGGTATCATCTTACCGTGCTGGTCTGTCATTCTTAGAACGATGAGGTTCATCACTCTCTTTGGACTTTGGATGTACTGATTTAGTTGTTTTTGGCTATGGACAGAAAGATAAAAAACAAAAAAGCAAAAACAACAACAACAAAAAGACACACATACACCCACACACACAAAATAATTAGATTTAGAAATTATATATATCATGCCAAGTTATGAGGTTACATTTAATTAAGCAATATAAAATGCTTTAAGTATGACCACTCAGAGATTAAAAACCTATAGCCATGAAGATACATGCTGGAGGCTGTCAGTGCAGCCGGATGAGTGGGCAGAACACATGCACATACCCTCCCATGAGTGTGGCGGGCTGTCAATGACCCATTTCACAGCTGCACCGCACCCCATGAGAACTAGCAGACACCTGTGCCTATGGAAACTAGGTCTGTGCCCTCAGGCTTATTTCTATACACCTGTCTTGGGGCTGGTGATTTTCCAGTCAGGAAATTAAGGCACATTTCACAACTTATACAGGAAAAGAACTCATACTTGCTAGACATGTGGACACTGACTTCTGACTTTCCTGATTAATAATCCTTAAAACACTTACCCTTTCCTAGTTAACGGAGAATCTGAGTAACTCGTAGGCAATTACTTGTGGTTTAATTTATGTCGCAGAAGTATCTGGGAGTCCCTGACTAAAGTATGACATGTGAGGGAAAAAATCCTGAATTACTAAGAGGGTAAAGAGGAAACTATACAAGCATAATTTTGTTTTATTTCCAGAATGACACTTGGATAACTGAGCAACAGAAAATAGTAGAGCAATACTATTATCATGGTTCTACCTCTTTTTCCTCACAGCCATTGCTGAGACTGAGAGACCACACCAGAGATGTAAGAGGGAAATTCATTTGAGAGACAGCAGTGCTGAGTATCAGCTGTCTCACAGACACCTATCCTAGGCTGCCTCCTTTTCAGCATAGTGTAGCCTTCCCTAAAAAGGCCTTTATTATATGAATTCTCTCTTCTTCCTCTGCTCTTCTTCCCCTCAGCTTGATTTTAGCATTTGTCAGCTGTCTACAGTTTGTCTTCCTCTCTATATTATTTTCAGAAAAAGGGATCTACATCTTTCCATTAAGGACCAGAGTGGAGTTACAAAATTGGTGGAGAGCAGTCTGTTAAACTGAACTTTCAATTGCCACATACAGCTATCAGGTTACTTCACAGTAGAGAAAATTATATTCACTGCCCATCTTGTCAATTATTACTGAGTAACAGAGGGGAAGATTGCAGTCTAAGCTCACGCTAGCCAGTTATTACACTGTGACTTAAGCCATGATTATGGTAATAAGTGTGTATCTGCATGTCTTCCACAGATCAACTTGTGTCAAAGGAAAGAGAAACTGGTACATGATAGGAATAAAGGATAATATAAGTACAAAGAGAAAAGCAGAGAGAGGAAGAGAAGGTCACTGTGAAACATTTGAAAGCATGTGAATGACCAGGAGCATTGGCATCTCAGTTGATCTTAAAACAAACAGGAGTTTTTCAATATCAGCAGAACTTTTTATCCAGTTACTTTCAAGAATTCAATGATTTTTCATAGTGAAACAACTTTTACAATTCAGTTTGCATATGCCATACAGGTATTTCTGTATATCCTAAATATATGGGTAGAACTTCTAAGAGCAGAGTCTCATGTTTATTTCTAATTTATTTCTAACTAAAAACTAGATAAAAAACACACACTTCACCTTCCACTCGGGGTCATGCTTTCTTTTGTCCAATGATTTCTCCCGCTCCTTAGCTTTCTTGTAAGCTTTCTTTTCTTCAGCCATTAGAAGTCGAGCAATTTCCTAAACGAAATCCAGTCAGTACCATTAACTGTAGAATAGCAAGTAGGAAATGATTGTTATTTTTCAAGAATATCAGTTAAGGGCCAGTAGGTGGCATATTGGTTAAGGTGGCTGGATCCCAAATGACCAATAGCACAGTTCATGTCTCAGACCTGGCAGCATGAAAAACATGCCAGGCACATGTGTGTACATGCCCAAAATCCCAAGAGGAGGATGCAGGGTATGGGACCTCAGTGTGGCCATCCACCCCAGGAAGTGTTTTCTCACTGTCCCTTTCTTTTTCTGTCTCTCTCTGGCAAGCACATGTGCCCCATAGCAAAACTAACAAAAGAAAAAAAAAAAGGAGTCTCACAGTTAAACTCTAATTAAGAACTTACCTCATCCTGGGCTACCTGAGCCGCTCTCATGTCCACCTGGGTAGCCTTTGGTATAGAAAATATAAAGAAGAACAATTTAACTGGAATTGATGTCACTTATTTCTAAAATATTATATAAAATAAACTTGGATTTGAAACCAGTTGTAATTAATATCCCTGAAGTTGAAAATCAGTGGACATATTTTCACCAACTAGAGCAGGGGCTCTTTTTATCAAATTTTACAGCGGGCTTCTCAAGAATTATCAGACCTTAATAATGGAGAGACAGGAAGTTCTGTTGCTAATCCTTGCTCAATAAGTACAACTGGATAATCTATTCTCATTGTTTTCATTTTTTTCATCCACAAAAATGTTACAAGTTTAACAATGGAGAACTAAATGCCTACAACATATCTCAGGATTGATTCAATACACTGATTCGCCTGGACTTTTGCTTAAATATGCTCACCAAAAGTTCTTCTTCTTGCAGTTTTCTGGCAATTTCAGCATCATACCATTCTTGATCCTTGTGGGTCACTCGTGACGGAGTAGAGATAGCTTCTTTTACTATTCTTGGCTTCATTCCTAGGGGGAAAAAACCTCAAGATAATTAGGCAACTAAGATTGTTAAAAAAAAAAAAAAACTGCAAGAAAAGAAGGTTTTCTTTAATGTCTAATACTGACAATATTGTCTCTACTCCATAATTCACCATGGGATGCCTCTGAAATATTAATTTCTCTAGGCATGGAAATGGTGTTGCAGATAACTCCCTACATTTAAACAAAGAAACCCACTCAAACCTTTTGGTAAAAACTCCACCCTCACACAGTTTCTCCAACAGTAGAAAATCATTCAAGGGACTATAAATGAGGCCTCAGCAAAATAGGGGGGGGGGGGAAGGC